CAAAACAAAAGCGTGCCAACAGATGTACACCTAGCAAGTGGCCACAATTGGACAAAAAAGTTGTTGATTGGTACTTGAAAATCGTCAAAATGGAAAATGTGTTAGTTGTGAAGCCATCCAAATCCGTGGTGATAGACTGAATCAAAGAAAGACTGAATTTCGGATTTTAAGGCAAATGCTGGACTGGTGCACAAGGTTCATGAGAAGTTATGACTTAGTATTTCAGCAGAGAACTAAGACTGCACAAAAGCTGCCTGTTGAACTTGAAGATAAGATATTAAAGTTTCACCAGTTTGAAATCAGAAATCGGCAGAAGGAAGGCTACGAGTTATCACGCATTGAAAACATGGACGAAACACCTATTACTCTCAACAAGACAAAGGATCAAACTGTGAACCAAAAAGGAGAAAAAACAGTACTGGTGAAAACCAGTGGCCATGAGAAAAGTAGGTTTACTTCAGTTCTTTCTTGTACAGCTGATGGCTAAGTTAAAACCGATGGCTGTTTTTAAGAGAAAAATTGTGCCAAAGGAGAAATTTCCAAATGGAATTGTGGATGTATATGCATCCACAAGGCTGGATGGATGAAGGTGGATGTAGTATACGGATAAAGGAAGTTTGGAATTTACAACCCATTTGCTCGTCTGGGACCAGTTTAGATCACATCTTGTGAAGAATGTTGTTGATAACATACGATCACATAACACTGATGTAGTTGTAATTATTGGCAGACTTACAAGTGTTTTGCAACCAATAGATGTCAGTATCAATAAGCCATTTAAGGGAGTGATGAGAATGAAGTGGAATAACTGGATGCGTGATGGAGAAAAAAACACACGAAAGGAGGCAGTATGTGGGCCCTATCACTGCCATTGATCTGTGAGTGGATTGTGGATTCATGGAAGGAAGTAAAAGCTGACACTTTTTCAAATCATTCAAGAAATGTGGAATTTCAAATACATTGGACGGTACAGAGGACAATTATGTATGGGATAACAGATGAAGCAGCAGCAAATGATGAGCCACCTCTAACTATGGACAGCAAAGATGAAGAGGATCCATACGATGATATCATTCATTCTGATGATTATGAAGTTTTATTCGGTGTTGAAGATGGTGAACAGTGTAATTGTGCAGGATTTTAATGAACTTTTGTATTTGACATGTTTAATTTAAGATGTACCATGTAACTTTAATTTAAAGATGTATTATATTTCTACTTACTTTTTGTATGTATAAATAAAAGCTTACTAATTCATTTTTGTTTCTATTGTCTTTATCCGGTAATTACTGTAATTCATTGTTTGTTTTCTTTATTCGTTTAGAGGTCAATTAGGCTTCTGCTAATGATACGGTATTTTGGACTATATCATGAATTTCAGCCTCTCAAAAGTAATATCCATGTAATAGGCAACTCCATAAATTTAACCTTAAAAAATAGTCTAAATAATTCAACTTTTACATGAGTATATACGGTAAATTGCATCGATATCTTGGGTTTGTAAAAGATTAATTATTTTTATACATCATTTGCTCCATAACAAATGGCATCAATCATGCAGAATATTCTGGTGTTAGTTTTCATTTGGTACTTTCAAGATGCAATGGAGTAAATGAAAGTATGCAATTTACAGGAAAATATTTTCTGGCACAAACTCAATGTACATCAATGTTACAAAATTAGGATTTTAGTGACAGACTGGCATAACTGGCAGTGGCACAACAGTACAACGGAATATTAATAATAAAGAATAAAACAGTTTCAACAATAATAATTATTATTTCATGACCTTTTAAATATACAACACTAGAAATCATCAATCAATGCATTTACCAAAGGTAACAAAAGACATATGGAGTTGACAAAATGTGGTCACATAAATGAGATGAAGGAGGGCAGCACGGAGGCTCAGTGGTTAGCACTGCTGCCTCTCAGTGCCAGGGACCCGGGTTCAATTCCACCCTCGGGTGACTGTCTGTGTGGAGTTTGCACATTCTGCGTCTGCATGGGTTTCCTCCGGGTGCTCCGGTTTCCTCCCGCTGTCCAAAGATGTGCAGGTTAGGCGGATTGGCCATGCTAAATTGCCCGTAGTGTTCAGGTTTCAGTAGCTTAGGTGGGTTATAAGGGGATGGGTCTGGGTGGGATGCTCCAAACTTGTTGGGCCGAAGGGCCTGTTTTCACACCGTAGGGATTCTATGATTCTATGAGGGTAGAAAGCAAAGGATTGGAGTGAGGTGAAATCCACTAGCTGGAAAGTTTTGATGAGTTACTCTTACTTACTCGGAGCTTATCTGATCTGTACTTGGTACTTGACTGAACAAAATTGAAATTTGATAATCAAACCAATTTGGCAGGGCCGTAAGTTAAAATGAAGTCTGTGGAAAAATCTGAAGGCAGCATTGATGGGATGGTGCAATGGACAGCTGAATGGAAGAAGCAGTTCAATGCATAGACATATGAAATAATATATTTTGGAAATAAGAACAGGGAAATTAAAAAAATTAAACAGCAAGAGAAATAAGTCTTTCTTCACGAGAGCTAAGCGTTCACATGATGATATACTGTAAACCTTCTCAAACGTGAAGTGTTGTCATAGTGATAAGGTGATTCTATTGCCTCATGAGACAATAGCTAGAGCGTACAAATTTAAGGCTGAAATTACAAAGGTTATCAAGAAGTTCAAAGAAAAGTATGCCAAGGTTGACTACAAACATAGAAGCCAAAAATGGTCATTGAAGCAGTGTCTATAAGTCTTTAAAAAGATAAAGTGGTCATTGAAGCTGTGTCTATAAGTCTTTTAAAAGGTAAAATGACTGTGGCTGGAATGGAAAATCTGTTCCGGTACCATTCCAAAACAAGCATCTACCGTGCAACATGTGCCCACATACGTCCTGTCTACAAAATGCAGGACAGAGCTGAACTGACCAATTACAATTCCATCAATCTACTCTCAATCATCATCATGCAAGGTGACATCAATAATGGTATCATGTGACACTTGCTGAACAGCAACATGTTCACTGGCACTCAGTTTGGATTCCACATGGCACAACTGTAGTCCAAACAGCATCAAAAGAGCTGAACTCAAGATGGGGTCAGGGTGACTTCCCATGACTTCAAGGCATTATGAAACCCTAGCAAAACCGGAGTCAGTGGGAATGACAAGAAAAACTCTTCACTGATAGGGGTCATACTTAGCACAAAGGATGATGACTGTGGTTTTTCGAGATGACTCATCACAGCCACAAGACATCAATGCAAGGGCTTCATTGGGAAAGATTCTAAGTCCAACCATCTCCAGTCGCTTCGTCAGTGACCTTTCCTCCATCATCTTGTCAGAGGTGCGGATGGTCACGGATGATTATATAATGTTCAGCACCATTCACAATTCCTCAGATAGCAGTCCATATAATATTGCAGAAGCTTGGACAACATTCAGTCTTATGTTGATGACTGACAAGTAACATTTTTGTTAAATGCCAGGCAATATCAATCTCCAAGAAGAAAGAATCTAATCATTGCTCCTTGGGATTCAATGACAATCTCTCACAATCAACCCAGAAACTGAAATGGACCAGCCAAACGGATATTGTGGCTACAAGAGCAGGTCAGAGGATGGCAATTTTGCGGTAAGTAATTCGCCTCCTGACTCCTCACTATCTGTCCATCATCTACAAGGCACACGTCAGGAGGAGTACTCTCTACTTGCCTGGACAAAGCAGTCCACTTGAATGGCACCCCATCCATGACATTCAACATTCAGTCCATCCATCATAAATGCATGAGGCAATAGTTTGTGCACTATCTACAACATGCATCTCAACAACTCACCCAGACTCCTAGGACAGCACCATACAAACCCGTGAATGCTTTCATCTGGGGACAAGGACAGTAGATACTTGGGACGCTACCACCTAAAAGGTTCCCCTCCAAGCCACACACTATCCTGATTTAGAGATACATTGTCATTCCTTCATTGTCACAGGATCAAAATTCTGGCACACTTCTTAACAGCACTGTGGATGTCCCTATATTCCAATGACTGCAGGAGCTCAGAAAGGCAGCTCACAACCACCTTCCCCAGGTCAATTAGGGACAGGCAACAAACGCTGCTCTAGCCAGCAACATGCATAGCCCTGAACAAATATGAAACTGATCCAATGGTCTGCTATATATTCCATCTAGTTTAGATCATAGGCTTCTACAATATAGCACGTAGTTAACATCTTTCCTCATTCCCATACAGAGTTGCCTTTTCTAAATATTTATTCACCTACCTTTCAACAAATTCCTTTATAGAATCCACTATGGATTTATGTTTCCACCATTGTTTCTGGCAAGATGGCTCATGCTTCAACAACACTGCGTCAAAAAAAATCCTAAAGAATTATCCTTATTTTTGCTGACGATCTTACTAATGATGATGCAAACTCACCAACTAGCAGATGTCATTTTTCCATGACCTGTGAATGATAAAAAATTTATCCTTTCAGATTTGTACCATATCTGGAGGCAAGGATTTGAACTGGAATGAAATGCACGTCTGCCAACATTTGTGCTAAATAGTTCCATGGAGCAAATTTAAAGCAACATATTATGTTGAAATACATTGATTGACTCATATACTTTATCCATACAGCTTTTAAACCTGGTGATAGCACTGACAAACTAACCTTGAAATGTGTGGAAAGAAAAGACGTATTGTGTACTTTTGGGATGTTGGATTGTGGGAAAGTGTGATATGTTAAAATTCTATTGAATGGTAATAGTTAACCAGCTATTTTTAAAATTGCACGCTCAAAAATTACAATAAATTCATCTTTTTATTAACAGCTTCTTAAATTATAACTCAGCAACATAATCGCAAAAGCTTATTAATTCTGACAATCAAAATATTAGATTTTGATAGGCTAAACCAGTGTTTCATTTGACCCCAGGCTACAAGTGTGACCCTCGTATCAGTTTGAAAATCCATTTCCACTTTGAAACTTGGCTCGTCCACCCGAATTCAGCCGATCTGCTGTTGAAATCCTCATCCTTGCTTCTGTTGTCCCGGATGTGATTAAACCAAGCTGTCTTGGCCAGTTTCCCATCTTCTACACTCCATAAACTTGAGCTAATCTCAACCTCACACTGACTGTATCCTAACACACATCAAGTCCCTTTCACCCACCATTCCTTAGCCAGCTTGTGCATCAGTGTATTCCCTTTCAAATAACTTATGGAAGCCATGCTGCCAAAAAAAAATTATCAATGGATAATTTCAATTGAACTTTTTCACTCTTCTAAGGAACTCGAGTCTTCGCACTGAAGCTACGCATCTACATATGCATAATTTCCATGCTGTTTCATTCAAGTTGCACAAGTTTAGTTACAAACCAGAAGGCATGGTTGGTAACATCTAACTTGTCACATACCTGGATAATCCTTGCTTATTAAACGCACAAATTGTGTTGGAATTTGGATCATTGCATTACTTTGTAGAAAGCTGAGAAACTTAACCACATTCAAAAATTACACAAAGTGGGTAACGATGGCACACAAAGATTGCTCTCCTTTGATAGGAACAGTTTGAGAATAGGTATAAAAGCACCTGAACTCTCATGCTGATAATTTTTCAATGTAAATTGGCATGGATCACACCTCCAATCTCAAATCTTCAGTCAGCTTCAGCATAATCAAATTTTACACTCATACGTATAAACAGGTGTTAATTCAGGCTGCTTCTTACTTTATACATCATTGTTCCATTGACTTCATCTACCCAATGTTTGTCTAATTGGCATGAGCATGTACCTTACCATGAAGAAGAATTATCCTTTCAGCAATTAGGCCATCATTTAAATCATCTCATAAGCACACTTCCAGCAGCATGAGATATTCTCCCAATTTATGAATACAAAGTAATTAGCTCATAGTAATACTCTTTTTAAACTGACTACCATAATTTTTTGAGTGTTCCTGTATCATCCCATTAACCAATCTGGCACTGCAAGTAGAAGCCAAGAAGGATAAACTAATTTCTCTTCCATGTGACACAACAATGCTTGCCCATATTTCTGAAGGAAACTTTGGGCCTCAAAAAATAAATCGATAAGCCTGGTTTAAAGCACCACAACACGTT